CGCCGACCACCCCGGACCTCCCGGCCGCGCCAGGCGCCACGAGCGCGGCCTTCGCGGGACCGGCCTCCCGCAGGCTCCGCGGCTGCTCCCCACCCTGCCCCGGGCGGCGCAACACCGGGGCTGGGAGGGGCCCGTGCGTCTGCGGGCTCACCTCGTGGCTGAGACCCGGAATGCCCGCTCTGGGAGCCCCACAAGTCCAGCCTCCGACAACGGGACGAAATCGAAAGTGAAACCGCGGAGGCGGTGGCACTTTCCCGCCTCGGCCAATCACTGCTCCCCTGGCTACGGCGGCCCGCGGGGCCAAAAGAGCCCAGCCTGGCGGGAGCGCGCAAATCCTGGAGTTCAGATTCGCCTGAAGGCAGAGTCCGTGCTGCGGGGTTAAATGGAAAGCGCTGGTGCTCTCTCCTTTAACAGAAAGCTCCTCTTAAAAAAAGTTAAAAACGATAATAAGAAACACAGGAAGTGATCTTTCAGGCAGAAATGTACGAAGTAGGTCGAAGTCGTAGGCAACTAGAAATTACTACGAAAGTAATGACTATACACACCCATAAATGTCCTCGAATAATTGAAAGCAAATAAATAAATGAAAGAAGGCGCCTCAAATATTTAAGTCCACCTTTGGATTTTGACTTAAGTGTGTGACGATGAAGCCATTATTAGCAGGATATTGTTTCCGTGGCAACGTTAATTGACACAAATAGGATTAAAATCACCAAAGTAACTCTGTATTATAATGGAATAAATTGCGTTCCATTACAAACTATTTCTAATTGGAAATGGTGCGCAGACATTAAGTGCTACTATGGGAACCTGGTTTGGAATTTTGCTTGAATTCTCAATATTCTTGCTATAAATGGAAAGGGAGAGGTAAATAAGGAAACTGTCAAAACGAGACTTGATTCCTTTTTCTACTCACATGGCCTCATCACATTAAATCTTATACTTTAATTCTACATAATTTGTAACACCATAAACCGGTGATTTCTTTAAACAGATTCTTAACCCTAAGTGTTATAGAATCTAAGAGGCAGAATTTTTTTCTAAGACAAAAATGAATTCCTCCTCTTGTAAGCTAAAGAGATCAACTTTTGATTGATACAGATAGGGAACAACTGGGCATGGTTTGCTGCAAAAGACAGACTTTCTTGTATCCTTCTATAGAAGCTCACTTTGGGTAAAGACCAAGCATTATGGATTTTTTAAAAGACTGTATTTGAAGTCCTTGCAGTATAAAATATAATGTAAACACAAAATTTAAATAAAGTATTAATTAAAATAATTAGCTGCAAAGAACATACATAATCTATATTAATAAAAGGATAATATGCTAATTAGACCAGATGTCCTTCTGGACAAAGCCATGGTAACAGGGGCAAGGCAGAGGCGGTTAGGGGCGATCAGGCCGGCAGGCAGATGAGCAGTTAGGAGCCAGCGGTCCTGGATTGTGAGAGGGTTCCCAGATTGGAGAGGGTGCAGGCCGGGCTGAGGGGACCCCCCCCCCCGCACGAATTTCATGCACAGGGCCTCTAGTAGAATATAAAGCCCTGTCCCTTAAAACCTTTTTCACAAAAGACATCAAATTGTACCATATTCCCCACTACTTGTTTCAATTATTTAAAAAAAGAAAGTTTGCCAGGCAGCCCTGATGGAGTCATTAAGACTGGTGTGGTGGACAGGGGGTCATGAGGAGTTTTAAGGTCATGGTTCATCTTCAGAGGCAGCTGTAATCTTTCCAAGGGGCATGGACTGTAAGGGCCCAACTAGACAAATGGGGTGGGCGCCATGAATTACTTCACAAGCCAACAAGTTTACCTAAATGTGTTTATCCAGAATTCTTTCAGCAGCTTATGATTGGCTTTTACTAATTCACAGAGCAACTTTCCATATTTCACAGGGTATTTTTAGTATCTTTAATTTTGCAAAGAATCGGCAGGATTTTTCTGAAGACTAGTCCACCAAGAACTCATCTTCAAACCCATGGACATAAACATTAATTTATTAAGGCCATAAAAATAAATATGATAAATCATAACAGTAATTTGACAAGATTTAGTTTAGCTTACATAGTTGTTTAGTTTAATTTTTAAAATTGACAAACCTACATTGACACATCATTATCACCCAAACTCCATAGTTTACATTGGGGTTCACTCTTTTTCGCCCCCAGTGTTTTTATTGATTTCAGAGAAGCAGGAGAGGGAGAGAGAGGTAGAAACATCAATGATGAGAGACAATCATTGATCAGCTGCCTCATGCATGCCCTCTACCCGGGATCAAGCCTGCAACCCTGACATGTGCCCTGACGGAACTGAACCGTGCGTGACCTCCTGGTTCCTAGGTTGATGCTCAGGTATGGTTTCTGAAGCACACTGGCCAGCATGGGTTTACGTTTGGTGTTGTACATTCTATGGGTTTTGACGAACATATTTTACCTGTGCCCATTATGATAGCATCATACAGAGTATTTTCACTGCCCTAAAAATCCTCTGTGCTCTGCCTCTGCATCCCTCTGTCCCCACTAATCCCTGGCAACCACTGATCTTTTTACTGTCTCCATGGTTTTCCTTTTTCCAGAATATCATAAAGTTGGAATCCTACAGTATGTAGCCTTTACAGATTGGCTTCTTTCACTTAGTAACATGCATTTAAGTTTCCTCCATGACTTTTCATGGCTTTATAACTCATTTATTTTTAATGCTGGATAGCAGTTCATTGTCGATATACCACAGTTTATTTATCCATTTACTTACTAAAAGATGTCTCAGCCACTTCCAAGTTTTGGCAATGATGAATAACCTGCTATGAACATCTGTATGCAGGTTTTTGTGCGGACATAAGTTTTCAACTCGTGGTAAGTGAGTTGAGTTTTCAACTCTTTGGATAAAAACCAGGGAGTCAATTGCTGAATTATATAATGAGAGAATATTCAGTTTTGTAGGAAACTGCCAAACTGTCTCCCAAAGCAGCTGTACCATTTTGTATCCCCTCCAGCCACATATGAGAGTTCCTGTTGCTTCACAACGTCACCAGCATTAGGTATGTCCAGTGTTTGGATTTTGGCCATGCAGTAGGTAGGTAGTGGAATCCAACTGCAGTTTTAATTTGCATTTCCCTAATGACATATGATGTGAAGTATTTTTCTAAATAATTTAAAATAGATTTTTATTGATTTTAGAGGGAGAGGAATAAGAGATAGAAACATCAATGAAAGAGAAATTGCACGGCTGCCTCCTGCATGCCCCCTACTGGGGACCGAGCCCACAACCCCAGCATGTGCCCTGACTATGAATCAAACCGGGGACTTCTTGGTTCATGGGTCAATGCTCAGTCACTCAGCCACACTAGTTGGGCTGGAGTATTTTTTTTTATATATGCTTATTTGCTATCGGTATATCTTCTTGGGTGAGGTATCTTTTCTGATTTTTAGCCATTTATTATGATTGATTGATTTTTTTTAATCATTGAGTTTTAAGAGTTTGTTGCATGTTTTAGATAATATTTCTTTAACAGATATGCCTTTTGCAAAGATTTTCTCCCAGTCTCTGGCTTGTCTTCTCATTCTCTTGAACATATTGGGTATTTTTAAAATAGGCAAATACTAGTATAAAAATACTAAGGTGAACTCTTGCCATTTCATTAGTTGTTCCAAACTTCTAGAGTCCTGTTCCTTTAAAAAAAAAATGCCATTTAGAGTTTCATGTTCATAACAAAAAGTATCATGTCTAGCTTATTTTTTAAAACACCCACCAACCTTGTGGACATGTGTGTGATTGTATTATGTTGATGCTGCTAATAATATACACAAACATGGAACTGGATTGGCCAACAGCCCTCAGAACAGATTTGAATCCCCAAATCAGTGTTAGAATCCTAAGAACGCTGGTTGCTCTTCTTCAAGCAGTGCATTACTGGGGAAGCGCTGGCATGCGCTTGGGCCTTTCCTGGACCTTCAGACTGGACAATAAAGACATCTAATCTCTTACACCCTCGTTTTGGACTATTATTATCTCCCTTATATCATGGGATGTGAAAGATACCCTGTAGTTATTGAATTTCTCCCCCCCCCCCTCTCTCTTTTTTACAGTGTAGCCTTTCAATCATCACAAGTATGGGCAGGGTCCCAATTCCAACTCTCTACCCCAAATGGGCCCAGTGCCTTCTCTCTTGTACTCCTGGGCATTAAAACTGCCACTTCCATTCTTCTTTCTCCTGATCCAATTCAAACCACATCACCTTCTGGGTGACCGTTGGAGCCCAAGCCTCTTCTCTTCAACCAGGCCAACTCCTAATTGTACTTTAGGTCTTAGCCTAAACATAGATGCCTTTGAGAAGACCTATTTTTAAATATGTGTTTTTATTGATTTCAGAGAGGAAGGGAGAGGGAGAAGGAGAAACATCCATGATGAGAGAATTATTGATCAGCTGCCTCCTGCACATTCGCATGTGCCCTGACCAGGAATAGAACCATGATCTCCTGGCTCATAGGTCGACGCTCAACCACTGAGCCACGCAGGCTGAGCGTTATAGAAGACCTTTGATAATCCCTCAGACTAAAATATTTTTCCTCTTGTTCATGATCATGTACTTCTCCTTTGTGCCCCTTGTGAATGCCACTATTAAATAACTCGTGTGTGTGTGTGTGTGTGTGTGTGTGTGAGTGTGCGCGCACGCGCACGTGTGTGTGTTCCCTCCCTCATGTGTACTCTGTGAGCCCCGGGCCGATGTCTATATCATTTAATATCGTGCTGTAATATCTTCTGAGGAGTAACATGAGCTCATGGACTGACGGACAAATTTCTCAGGAAAGTCAGTGTGCCTTTTATTTTTGACACACGATGGAACATATTCTACATCGTGGGCACGTGGTTTCAGATATCATGTTTGAGATGCTTAACTAAATGCTCAGACTTCCCTGGCCATCGTTTCGGCATGGCTTGCATTTCAAAAGCGATGGACTCCGGGTCTGAGCTCCTCTGTGCAGAGCCTTTCAGCCGCCAGGATACTTTACGCGCCGCCGTGAACTCCAGAAAACCTCGCTCAGCTGTAAAACTCAGTGAAATCGGTGTGACGCTGCCCTTGTATTTTAATCAAGATGAACTTGAAAGGTGAACATTATAAGTGGGAGAAATTATTTATAATTTGGTAATAAAAGTTTATGTCCAACACTCCAAATTTCATACATCTGCGTTGTGCTGGCCCTGAGATATAAAACAATTGGAGTTGCCTTTACATTTGGCCTTATATGAAAGGTCATAAA